ATCACAAATGGAGGGCAACCACAGAATACTGGGATATCATGGCCTAGCCAAACTGATACACACTTTTTTTGGGCACAGAATTCAATCCATGCCAGGGAACAACCTTGCTGACAGAGCAGCCAAACAGGCCACCTCTCAAATTATCTTGCCCAAGCCCACAGTTGATTCCAACTCATAGAGACCTTATAGGACCAAGCAGAACTGCCCCATAGGGTTTCGAAAGAGTACCTGGTGGATTCGAACTGCCGACCTTTTTGGTTAGCAGCCTTAGCTCTTAACCACTGCACCACCAAGGTTTCCCAAGTTATCTTAGCCCCAATGAAAACAGAAAAAGGAGATTACCCTTGTTTGTTCATAAATAATCATAATCAGAAAAATTAATTAAAAAATCAATTATTAGTTAAAACTAAGGCAAGTTAAAAATGGAAGAAAGCAGGTTGTTCTTAGGATCCCATAACCAAATTATAGTTTCTGGCCTAATCAGAAGCTTGTCTTGCCTTAATCATTTCATGTTATGTTGAAAGGTCTCTAGGAAAGATTCTATTTAGCATGAGATAAAATGATTGAAATTTTGAAGAAATACTGGAAGGGACAATTCTTTGAGGCTGCCGAGCATATTGCTTCTCATTGCTCTATTTGTTCCCTCTGTAACTATAAAAGGCAAACCTTTTAAAGTTTCACCTGGGAAATACCCATTACCTTCAGGACCTATGCTTTAATGGCAATTAGATTTTATCCAGCTCCTCATTCAAATGGTTATAAATATGTATCACTGATGATTTGCAGATTTTCACATCAGGTAAAGCCTTTCCTAGTCACTATGCCACTGCAACGTTTGTAGCTAAGAAACTTCTTGAAAATACAATCCCCACTTAAGGAGCACCAACAATTCTCTGCAGTGACAGGGGGACCCATTTTACTGGATAAGTAATTAAAGAAATATGTAAGATTTTTTCCATTTATCAAAGACTTAATTGCCCTTACCATCTACAATCTTCTGGACTAGTAGAAAGAACTAATGGTATAATAAAACCCAGTTGGCCAAACTTTCTGAATCCCTGAGCTTATTTTGGATTAAGGTCTTCCCCCTTAGTCCTTTCTAAATTTGAAGTACACTCCATTCAGGCCAGATAAATTAGCCCTGCATTAAATTATCACTGGAAGACCTATAGCCCCTTCCTTATTTCTCAACCTATATTGATTACAATTTAGTTCAACCTGAATTACCGAAATATTGTCACTCTTTGATTCAGTACTCTAAAGAGCACCTTTGATGAGTTAAAGAAACTTTTGAAGACCAAAATTTAGAAATAAAAAAATTACCTACCACGAAACCAGGTGACTAGGTATATTGGAAGAGGCACCAATTAAAAGATTCCTGAAGCCTCATTGCAAAGGACCATTTTTGGTCCTTCTCACTAACCCCCGTGTTGCTAAATTACAGGGAGTTAAAACTTGGATCCATCTGTCTCAGTTAAAGAAGGCTAACGCCCCTGCCTGGACTGTTAAACCTACAGAAGGACTTACACTGAAGTTCAAACGCCCTTGTGGCCAGAAGCAGACAGCTCTTCCCAAGGTCATGGAAGAAGACCTCATGCAAGGTCTTGGAATTAGTGGACTTTGTTTTTGAGATTGCCTTATTTTAGAAGCTTGACTTTATTGACTATTAAAAACTTTTTATGCAGACTATTGACATTTTTGCCACTTGCTTTGTATTTATAGCTATCTTTTCACTGATTGCTGTACTGCACTTTGTGGGTATTATTCCTTGTTTTAATATCCTCTTTTGTCATGCAAATAACTGAAGGAGGAGTCTGCTTTATCACAGCTATTATTTTCATAACATTTGCCTTATTGTATTACTTTTTAGTTTGTCTTCTTACACTATGAGGCCTTTCTTAGTATTCTCTTATTGTATATCATGACTCTTGCTGATGCCTGGTATGATAATGCCTTTGTTAGATTAGCTCAATCAGTAGCTAGTGCTGGTAATCTGACTGACTGTTGGATTTGCCATCAAATCCCAAAATGTGGAATACTAACTCAGACCCTTTAGCTATACCTGTTTTTAACTATAGCTCTGTACCTGATTCCACTGTAAATCCTAATATTTCCTTTAAGTGGGCTATATGTGTCAGGTTGTAGCACCCTCCAGAATTATTAACAAGTCCCCAGGTGACATGTTTCAATTTAACTTAATACCTTTGAGTCAATGATACAGAGTAAAGTTTGAAAAACTGTACCAAAAATAAAGAGAAGCTCTACCCATGGACTGATTGGTCACTCATATGCCTGAGGAATCCCTTGCAGCAGCACCAAAGGAACACCACCCTTTTGTCATCGCATTTACCACTCTACATGTCGGGGGCTACTGTCTACTCGTAACAACTTTCTGACTGAAGAATGGCTCAAAAAAGTCAACTAAACCATCTCTTTTCCACAAAACGACACTGGAAATTTCTACGTTCTGTGCTCCTCATGGATATACATTTTTATGTGGAGGATCAAAATACCCCACTAAGAAAAACCCAAATCCAAATAACGAACCCTATGCTTGGGCATTACCGTGCCTAGATTGTTTAAAAATGACAGGTCAGTGTACACTCGGCTTTTTAGGCATTCTCCTGAATCTCCACTCTTAAAATGAAAAGTGTATACTGGACCAACAATCTGAAACTCTTCCTGACACAAAAGAAATTATGAAAACCCTATAATGGACATATCTGGGGATAGATGGGCACTTCTCCAGGGCTTTTTTCCACTTGTGGGTATCCCCAAATTTGAAAAATCTATTTGCAGTTTGTCTGCTACTATGTTCCAAAAAACATATGAACCAGCCGATAGCACTGAAGCCCAACAAGAATCTTTTAACTCTCTTGCCAAAGTTGTTTTGGATGATAGAATTGCCACTGATTTTATTCTAGCACAAGGACGAGTTCGTGCAATTGCTAATACCACCTGTACTTGCATAAATACATCAGGAGAAGTGGAACAAGATCTTGAACAAGTCCACCAGAAAGCTACATGGCTTCAACTACTCCCTATGTCCAACTCCCCTTTTCTTGATATTTTTAGTTGGCTACCTACTGAAATTGGTTCTTGGCTTTGTTCAGTTTTACAAACTGGATTTTCTTAATTGTTATAATAGTTATTATAGGATTAATCAAGTGTTTTTATGAAATGCTTTTCAGATGCTTGTACTGACAATGCAACACTACTTGCTATGCAAATGATCATGTATTTTGAAGAAACAGCAATTCCTTAGAGAACAGTTTGGCTCTTTACCTTGGCTGATGCCCCTCTCTGTCAAGTATTCCTTTTAATTTGGCCCTGCTCTGACACATCCCTTCTTAAAAGATCACAGAATCAGAAGTCCAAGCTATGGCATGGGGAAGACGGAACAGATGGTGCCCGGCTACCTTTCACGGAGAGTGTCAGGGGCCTTAAAAGCCTATTTTCATAGGCAGCCATCTAATAAACGCGAGGAAAATATGTCCATGCAGAAGACATGCTTAGAATAGAGATCAGAGAATCTCAATAGGAATTCTTGGTCCCAAGAGGGGGTTGTGAAGGGGCCCCAGAAATCTAGGTGCCTGACATGAGGAGAGGCTTCTGCCCAAGAGGTAGGCCAGGCTCCATTTTGTTGTTTACTGCTCAGTCTGAGCTGACTCTCAAAAGTTAGCTAGCCAGAATACTTCAGGAAGCCTACAGGCTCCCCTCCCCTCCCTTCCTCTCACAGAATGCTCCCAGGAAGGACACTTACTCAGGCTGGCCTCCCAAATATCCATAGATTAACAAGCTGTTAATTGATGCAAATTTTATGATTAGCAAAACAATGTTTAAGGGATCTTGTAATTATCTTGTGCCTGTTAAAGCAGGATTTTGTAAATGCCAACCAATCAGAGTTTTTTCCTTGTAAATTCCTATACTTTCTTTACTTAAACTGTGAAAAATTTCTTTGGCTGGAGTGCTTTTGTGAATCCTCACGAAGTGCTGCCTAATTTGGATCACTCTATTCCCTTAACAAAACTCTATGCTTTAATTTTACCAAAGAGTCCAGTTTGCTCTTTGACAATTTAAAATATTTGTTTTTTTTTCTGTTTATAAATACATAATCATTGTAGAAAACATTACACAGAAACAAAAAATTTAAAAACATCTTAAATTCTACCACATAAAGAAAATAGGAGTTAATTTAGTAAACATCATTACAGATACTCCTCTACATAAATACACACAAAAATAGATCTATAATTTTACATGAATGGGACCAACTATTTCATAATCTGCTTTTTTTCTTCTTCACCCAATATATCTCTGACATATTTTTATGGCATATAAAAACAGGTACACATTTTCCCTTTTATTGGCTTCATTATATTCCATCAAATAAATATTGGTTGTCTATAGAATTCCCTATTGATCGGGACATCTTACGTTGCTTCAAATTTTTTGCCATTATACATAACACTGATTATGTCCTTACATACACATCTTTGTGACATTGTCCAATTATCTCTTTAGGAGAAATTTCTCTTAGAATAAATTACCCTGAGTGGGATTTCTGGGGCAGAGGTTTTAAATTTTGATTCATATTCCAAATTTCCCTTCATAAAAGCTGTTATTAACTGTACCTTCCCACCAACAGTACATGAATATGTTCCTTTGCTTATACGCTTAGCCAAAACTGAGTTATCATTCTTCTCTATTTTGAAATATAAATTCTAATTGCATTTCATTGTTAACCAGTGAGGCTGAACATCTTAACATATATTTTCCCATTATTCCTACTTTTATTTTAAACTGTTGAGGGATACCTTTTCCCCATTTTCCTACTATTGAAATGGCATTTTAGTCTAACTTGAACACTAACTCTGATCTCCCTTTGTCATGTGGTTAGGAATTATATTTCTCATGTAGATAATGATTTTACCCATCAGAAATATATAAATGGCTTTAGAGCTGTTGCTCTGATCCCTCAAGCTCAGAATGCATCTTACCTGATCTACCCCTCGTTGAGATCTCACATGTCAGTCGCTTAAAATATTCGGGAAGATCAGCATATTCATTTCCGTAGGAGATGACTTTAATCCCTTTGTCTAGCATGTCTTCCCGAAGCTTCTTGAACTCATCTACATCTCCTCTCCGAACCAGCATGAAATGTTCTAAGTCAGATTTATGCTTGACAGCCTCCAGGAAAAGGGCTTGGAAAGTGGTGTCATCCACAGTCCAGCCACAACCCAGGAAAAGAAATGACTTGTTTTCGTAGAGTTTCTGAATCTCTCTCTTGAAGGAAAAGAAAGAACATATGAATGACAGTGAACACACACGAGGCATGTCTGAAACATTACATAAAGTCAACAGATTCATAACTGCCCCACTTAGACTGTGATGACCAACCAACCAAGCCCCAGAGACTTAAGAAGGTCGATACAGTCTATGCAAGAGTCCGATCTCCTGCTTGTTCATTACTGTAACTTGGTGATTGGTCTAAAATTGTATCTTTACCTGGCATTCTTCTGTAGGTTCTCTAATCAGGGTTTCATAGGCTTCGCACTGGTCTACTGGTCTTGTAGTTTATTTTTCAGATCTGTGTACCAAGAGGCCTTTAGACACTGGCTGAGTACATCTTCAATAAATCCTACTCTTTCCATCTTCTGGGTCATATTTGTTTTGCCTTACACACTGAATCATGATCACCAGAGAAGACAAATCCACCACCAGATTTGCTCAAGAAAGTCTGAGGCGTAGAACATCAACGTGTGTGTACATGTGTGTATATACAGTTGATCCTTACTTGGGGATTCTGTAATTTTAGTTCACCTACTTGCTAGAATTTACTCGTAACCTCCAAATCAAAACTTGTGGCGCTTTTGTGGTCGTTTGTGGACATGTACAGAGCAGTAAAAAACTGGAGTCCCCAGGCACATACAGTCCCAGCTAAGGTTAAAGAAAGTGACGCTCTGCCTTCTTGTTTCAGTTTTCATACTGTAAACAAGTGTCCTTTTCATAGTCTATTCAGTGCCATGTTTTTACCATTTTTACGCTTTTTTTTTTATATTTTATTGTTTAAAATGGCCCCCAGGCAGTGTTGAAGTATTGTCTAGTGTTCCTAAGTACAAGAAAACTGTGCTGTGCCTTATGGACAAAAAATACATGTATTAAATAAGCTTTGTCCAGGCATGAGTTACAGGGCTGCTGACTGTGAGTTCAACGTTAATGAGTTAATGATATATGTTAAAAGGTTGTCTTTAAACAAAAACACACATAAAATAAGCTCATGTATTGCTCGGTTGATGAAAATCTTGTGACCAGAGGCCCGCAGGAACCAAAGCCTGTATTTCCCCTAGGAGCAATGATTCAGAATTCACTAATTCAGTGTTTGTGCTGATTTCATAGATCATAACTACTGCAAATCACGTGAATAAACTGCTCTTCGTTATTAAAAACATTAGAAGTGACTTTGTGTGAGGGATCAATCAATCTCAGTGATGGGTGCAGTTACAGGAGATGTCAGGGAAACAATAGGTGGAGAAAAATCCCCCACGCTTTATAGAACATCACATTTTCTTGGTCTTTCTTTTGCCACATCATGTAAAGGTGCTACCATTCTACGTGGCTCAGTCCTGAAAACAGCCAGTACACACACTTTTTCTTAGTGTTAGGGGCCCGTGTACGCATGAGCAAGTCCAAAGTTTCCATCCCAAAAGATCCACGAACTTTTTCACAAAGAAGAAAACCTTCATCTTATAATCAAAAAAATTTTCCACTGAGCAGTGATTATTTTGTTAATTCAGTAAAATCCCATCATCATTTGCACATCTCTTTAGAATGTATGTTCTAGTACTGGCTGATCAGTAAAAAGCCGACCAAATCATTTTTCGTACGTTGTTACTGTTGTGTGCCATCCAGTCGATTTCGACTCATAGTGACCTTCTAGGACACAGCAAACGGCCCCATAGTGTTTCCTAGGCTGAAATCTTTACAGGAGCAGATCGCTAATTACTGGCCTTTTGGTTAGCAGCCAAGGGCTTAACCATTAATAAACCGAACAGTGAGTAAGGGTAATAATGTGTTCTTGGTATGTGTTATGGATTGAATTCTGTTCCCCAGAAACATGTGTTGTAAATCCTAACCTGTGCCTGTGGTTATAATCCCATTTGTGAATGGGTTATGTTTGTTGTATTAATGAGACAGGATTAGGTTAAGTTAATGAGGATTAAAAAAAAAAAAAAACAAACAAACCCATTGCCATCCATTCGATTCTGACTCACTGACCCTATAGGACAGAGTAGAGCTGCCCCATAGGTTTCCAAGAAGCAGCTGGTGGATTCAAACTGCCGACCTTTTTGGTTAGCAGCTGAACTCTTCACCACTGCACCACCAGGGCTCCTAATGACGATTAGGTTATGTTTTTTATATTAATAAGGCAAGATTAAGGTGTATCTTGAGTCAATTTCTTTTGAGATATAAAAGAGATTAAACAAGCAAGCTAAGTAGTAGAGATGGGCGAAGAAAGATGCCAAGCCACGTGAAGATCACCCAGGAGCAGAAGCTCAGAAGAGACAAGGACCTTCCTCCAGAGCTGACAGAGAGAAAGCCTTCCCCTAGAGCCGGCACCCTGAATTTGGACTTCTAGCCTCCTAAACTGTGAGAAAATAAATTTCTGTTAAAGCCACCCACTTGTGGTATTTCTGTTATAGCAGCACCGGATAGCTAAGACAAGTATGTGATGATGATGCCAATGACAGAGTGCCATCTGCTGGCTGTCAGACAAGTACAGACGAAATCCTATGGTTTGAAACGTTAAGAGAAGCTCTGCATTTCCTAGGATGGTGTGCACATCCACGAGCTGCAAAGCACAGGAAGATGGTTTGACCATCCAGATTTTTAACTACTGCGCAGAACATATTTCCCCTTTAAGACATATGACCTATCTAGAGAAGTTTCCCAGGAAGGACTTCCTGAGATCACTCACCATAACTTCAGTGTTCCTGAGCACGTTCTGATACCCAGCTGGATGTAGGACGATGCCACTGGGGTTGGTGTAGACTCCATGGATATGCAACACGCTCAGCTTCCGCTTCTCCTGAGCCCACTCAAGAACCTGCATGACACAAACACAACTCAATGAGGCTGGCGGGGTGGAGCAGCTGCTTCAAGGTCACAAGGGGCAAGAGGCTGTTCTGGAGGACGAGTCTTTTGACCTAACTCCCCGGCTTCATGGTACCATAGGACAAAACTACAAAAACTGAAGTGGCCGAGGTTTCCAATCCAGGTAGGACTGCCCACAGCAAGCTTGGTACTTGTCTTTGAAAATATCAACAATTAGCATTTATTTGTCTTCACCTGCAGAAACAACAGGGGCTCTTTCCACAGATGACATACATGAGAGCAATGGACGGCTGCTGGAGGAAGGGTTCCCAATGAATCAAGCCGCCCTCTCTCCATGCCCTTGTGTACTCCTTTTTCACAGTGACGCCAGGCTTGGCCTCATGACTTGCCGTAGCCAATGGGGCATCAGCAAACACGATACAAACAGAAACTTGAAAAATGTTTGTATGAGTCGTATTTCTCTCCTTTGCTGAATTTGGAACCCAGCTGACGTGTGAAGAAGCCTGGGCTAGCCTGCTAGGGACACATGGCCCAGCCAAATACCTGCACCAGCAAACATGTGCGTGAGGCCATTTTATACCATCCAGCCCTGGGTTCAGGCCACCAGCTGACTGCAGCCACGTGAGTAACCTGCAAGACCAGCAGAAGAACTGCCCACCGAGCCCAGGCCAAATTGTACTTCACATTATCGTGGGCAAAGAGAATGTTGGTTGTTTTGAAGTTTTGAAGGTGGTTAAGCTTCAGAGTGGTTTCTTACTGTAGCAATGTTGTTGCTGTTAGCTGGCATTGAACATGTCCAACTCATGGCAACCCCATGCACAAAAAGAATGAACTGCTGCCCAGTCCTGCTCCATCCCCATGATCAGCTGCAGGTTGGACCACGTGACCCACAGCAGGAGTCCACAGATAGGCCATTCTTCGCAGTCCGTCCTTCGTGTGGAAGCTTTGCTGAAACCTGTTCAGCATCATACCAACATGCAAGCCTCCACTGACATATGCGTAGGCAACAGATAAGTGATCAAAGAACCACTTTGGTCACGCCTCCGAATTACCTAAAAAACTACCCAAAGAAGAACAATCATTTAGATGACAATGATGACAACAGCCATCTGGACTCCATGGATCCGTTTTCAGAAGGATTTGAGACACTGTAAATTTATTCTTATAACATCCTGGAGAAATATGGTATGGATTAGGAAAAACAGCACAGAGATTTAGAATCTGAATATTACTAGGCCCCATTCTGACTACCAATCAGTGGCTTTAAACATTGCCTCTAATGTGGGCTAAAAATACAAAGGCAATCTTGAGGCTCAAGGCTGCAAAGCAAAGGGAAATGTCTAGTTTGATAGAGAGCCTCAGTTCTGAAAAGGTCCTCCTGCTTCTGATGAATACTCACATGACCCTTGGAGATTATGGCAGAAACTGCATGGAAGCTGTTCTAGTTACTAATTCTCGAGTTTCATTTAATCATTTGTTAATTTAAAAAATATTTACTGTACACCTACTGTATACCAAAAAAAACCCAAACCCATTGCCATTGAGTCAAACTCCAACTCACAGTGACCAAGGGTTTCCAAGGCTGCAAATCTTTATGGAAGCAGACTGCCACACCTTTCTCCTACAGAGCGGCAGGTAGGTTTGAACTGCCAACCTTCTGGTTAGCAGCTGAGTGCTTAACCACTTCGCCACCAGGGCTCTTTACCTATATAAAACCTGTTGTCACGGAGTCGATTCCAACTCCTGGTGACCCTATAGGACAGAGCAGAACGGCCCCATAGGGTTTCCACGGAGCGGCTGGTGGATTCAAACTGCCGACCTTTTGGGTTAGCAGCCAAGCTCTTAACCCCGCACCTCCAGGGCTTGTTACCTATACAGCAGGTACTAATTAGGTAAGAAATGTCGACATGGCAAGCAATCAAAACACAAACAGATGAACAGCCGAGATCAAACATTTCAAGTCGTAGTAACTGCTGTGAAGGAAACGATAAGCGTGGGGCCCGCCTTTAAGCAGCCTGGTCAGAGGGGGGCTCTCAGGGGATGTGGTATTCAAGTCAAGACTTACAGGGTGACCAGGAGCTGACCGTAGAAAGCATGAGGGTAACAGGTAGAAAACATTCCAGCCCGAGAAAACCATTTCTTTAAATTTGATTTCTCTCCCTTTTTAAAACCTGCCATCAAGGTCAGCAAAACCACCAGACTGGTATTACAGCTACTACTCTGGCAGAGGCAGTACTGTGGCAGTGAACACCAGTGGGCCGACCACTTGCCTATTCGAACTCAGTGTAGTTGGGCTACAAACTGGACTCACACAGGTTCCTGAGAAAAGTGAAGTACAGACAGAAAATGACACAAACCAGAGAGCAGGAGAAATGAGGCCTCAGGCATTCACCCCACTACTTCCTTGCATTCGCCTGCATCTGTAACTCACTATTATGGTAGACAGCTTGGGTATGGGATACAGCTAAAAAAAAACGCCTGCTGAAGCTTCCACTCAGCATTAACCACCGCCCAGCTATCACTTGGCCTGGACATCTTAGAAAGCTGCTCTTCCAGACATTATAAAGTCGTTTTCATACATTTCCAATAAATGTAAAACAAAAAACCGTAGGAGAGAACTCTAAATCCAAACTATAACCACCTGATACCACTGAGCGCTAAAGACGTCTTACAGTTCAAATGACTTCTCATAATCTTGTTTAAGTCAGATACAGTCATCAAAACTCAAAGAATTGAAAACTTTTAAGATCTGTGCATTTCACTGCATATTAGTAACTAATCTCAAAAAACAAACCAATCAACATCAAACAGGAATAAGAATCTTCCTTTTTAGAGCTACGTAAGTACAAACTCTATACAATACAATACTAGGAAACAGACTTTCTGGTGAAGATATATAACCCCCTTCCGTGAGAAGAGACTAAAGCTTTATTTTCTACCTTTTTCTCATCAGTAAGGTCCAGGGATTCAAGCTGTTTTCCCTGATCTGCTGCATAGAGTTCCAGGAGATTATCAAAATTTGTAGTTAATACTAGGGCTCCATTTTCCATCAGGTGGAGAACTGACTGAAGTAGCTGTTTCCCAGAATCTTCCATCTTTGACTCCAAGTCATCGAACACTTCATATAAACAGTCCTTGAAAAATGTGGATCGAACATTACTGGTACGCTGGAGAGGGATTAGAAAGAGAAAAATTAATTCAAGGTGTCTTGCTAGTCTATTTTTAAAAATTACAGTAATAGCAAATTTTTGAAGAATATTTTGTACTTAAAATAGTAGGGTTGTAAAAAGGAAAATGGGATGATACATGCCAAGTTCTTAGCATAATGCCTACCGAGCACATAAGAAACGCTATCACATCACACGCAAACAAGCATAAACTCTTTAAACAGGGATTTCTATAAAACGAAAAAAGTGGGAATGGCAAGGAGGTGTGAATTACCACCCAGACAACAAACAGTTGGGGTAGGAAGCACGGCTGTGGTTGTTAACTGCCGTCGAGTCGATTCTGACTCACGACGACCCCACGTGTGCAAAGTGTTCCATTGGGTTTTCAACGGCTGTGACCTTTTGGAAGCAGGTCACCAGGCCTTTTGGTTAGCAGTCGAGCACTTAACCTTTTGCGCAAACCAGCGACAGTACCAGCCCTCCAGACTTCAATACCTTTTTTTTTTTTAATTTTCCTTATCTAGGGAATGGTCACTAAAAGAAAGCTCTAAACGTGGATTAGCATCCTCGGCGCTTTTTATAGGTGCTTATGAATTTCAGAAAACCATTTAACTTCTCCCCGCCTGTTTTTTCCCTGGCATAATTCAGTAATTTGTTCACAGGTTTGCTATGATGAATACCTAGCATAATAAAGGCTATAAAATTTCTGCATTTTGCAGTTGTTAAAAATGATACCAGACTGTAATCAATTTCTAAACAGACTCCTTATTTCTCAACAAGGCGTTCATTTAAATAACTGCTCTCCCAGACTCATTTTGAACACGTGGATACACCTCTGAGGGCTAACAGCCAAACAGAAGACCAACCTCAACTGAGAAGTTGGCTTTATAACTTAAAAGACCAAGCAGCCTTGGGACAAAAGAAATCTGAAATGGGAAAGTAACTATGTGATATGATACTATCAAATAGCTTGGCTGCTAGCCAAAAGGTTGGCAGTTCGAACCCACCCAGCAGCTCGGCAGGAGAAAGACCTGGGAATCTGCTTCCATGAAGATTGCAGCCAAGAAAGCCCTACTGCGTTCTACTCTGTCACACGGGGTCGCCGTGAGTCGAAACTGACTCCACAGCACTTAACAACAATCCTATTCCTGAAATCCCATTCTATAACTCAGAGGAAGAATTAGTTCTAAAGCTCCCAATATTTCCCATTCATACTATAAGTAATGCACTTAGCTGCTACCCAAAAAACAAAAACAAATCCCAAACCTGCTGCCGTTGAGTCGATTCCGACTCATGGCGACCCTACATGTTACAGAGTAGAACCGATTCATAGTTTCCTAGGTTACGCTCTTTACGGAAGCAGACTGCATGACTTTCTTCCTGCGTGGGTTCAAACCACCAACTTAGCTGCTGGGTGGTAGATACTGCGCTCTGACCGTTTTTCCTCAAAGCAGTTTCCTATCTTCCTGGTGTCCTCCACACACCTTTCTAAGAGCCCAGTACGCAGATAAAGTTTCCACAGAACCGTCTACGCACATTCAAAAAACACATTTTAATTTGCCAGTTTTCCTAATTTTTCAAAGTATTTTATAAAATTATCAATTCTTTAATCATACCTACCAAATGAATGGTAAACAAATATTTTCACAGTAGAAAAATGAGAGCACAGAGGTGAAAGGGCACTTCTGCCTGGTGGTGACACTCCCAATACTATATCTGGGTTCCGGCAATCACTGTCCCACGCTACACCCCCCACTAGACAGCCTCCCACTGCATCCTGTAGTCAAGGGTCCGAAGAGTCTCTTCTAGTGCTCAAGATATGGTACTACCCCCTAACTTATGTGGCCAAAGATTTCAGTCACGTTTTTCAACCTCTGTCCATCTCGTTACATAATGTCATAAATAATTACCTCACATATTAACAACTCCTAGGCAACTAACCGGTGACCCTAACACGACTCAATCACAGCGAGCAATCTGATCAGAAACAAACAGAAGAATTTATAACTCTAATGAATTTCACTACGTAGAAGAGTCAAAATTTGTTATTAAAAACTATGGTTCTTTAATGTGTACCAAAATTACAAAACCATTCATCATTCTATGACCTAGCAATCTCACTTCTAAGAATGTATCCAACAGATATAATTGCAAACAAATGAAACGACATATAAAAGGTAACCACTGCTGGGTTATTTGTAATAGCAAACGACTAGAAATAAGCCAAGTACCCATGTACAGGGACTGGAATGGAAAGATCTCCAGGATATACTGTTAAGTCACACAAATGAGATGCAGAACAGTCTGTCTAGAGTGCTATCTACTGAGTTGGGGGTGGGGAGTGGGGGTAGTGAGATAAGAATAAATACAGTCCTACTTGCTTATATTTGCAGAAACACTGGAAAGATACACAAAAAACTAGTAAGATTGTTGGAGGGTGGTGTCATCGATTGAACTGTGTCCCCCAAAAATAATGTGTCAGCTTGGTTAGGCCATGATTCCCAGTATTGTATGGTTGTCCTCATTTTGTGATTGTAATTTTATGTTAAAGAGGATTAGGGTGGGATTGTAACATCCTTACCCAGGTCATATCCCTGATCCAATGTAAAGGGAGCTTCCCTGGGGTGTGGCCTGAACCACCTTTTCTCTCTCAAGAGATAGAAAGGAAAGGGAAGCGAGCAGAGAGGGTGGACCTTATACCATCAAGAAAGCAGCGCTGGGAGCAGAGAGTGTCCTTTGGACCCGAGGTTCCTGAGCTGAGATGCTCCCAGACCAAAGGAAGACTGATGACAAACAAGGACCTTCCTCCAGAGCTGCCAGAGAGAGAAAGCCTTGCCCTGGAGCAGGGGCCCTGAATTTGGACTTCTAGCCTACTGAACTGTGAGACAGTAAACTTCTCTTTGTTAAAGCCACCCACTTGCAGTATTTCTCTTACAGCAGCACCAGATGACTAAGTCAGGTGGGTTTAGGGGAGAAAGCAGACAGGGGCATAGGTGGGTGTGAGATGTCTCAATGTTCGTAAACCTTTTGATTTCTGCACTGTGTGTAAACAGTATCTATTCAAAACAGCAAAACCAAGTTTAAAATAAATAAAGAATATGATGACTTAGAGAACTTATTCTGTTGTGTTTTATAACTTCATTTTGTACTCTGACTCATGCATATGCACAACAATAGACACTATTTTCCACCACCAGTTTAATTATTACACAGATAAAAAGGCCCGGGTAGACAATCAGGTAATCATGGGTGTGGAATATAATTTCCTGCTTCTAAGAAAAGAAATACCAAAGGTTATAAACCCTGGAAATGAATTCTCTGAGCCACTTATTTGTAGCTAAACGTCTTTTAGTCCTTGTTATGGATTGAACTGTGTCCCTCAAAAGTGTGCGTCCACTTGGCTAGGCCACGATTCCCAGTATTGTGAGGCTGTCCACCATTTTGTCACCTGATGTGATTATCCTATGTGTTGTAAATCCTACCTCTAGGATGCTAATGAGGCAGGATTAGAGGCAGTTATGTTAATGAGGTAGGACCCAATTTACAAGATTAGGTTGTATTTTGAGTCAATCTCTCTTGAGATATAAAAGAGAGAAGTGAGCAGAGAGACGGGGGACCTCATTACCACCAAGCAAGAAGAGCCAGAAGCACTCGTCCTTTGGACCTGGGGTCACTGCACTGAGAAGCTCCTAGTCCAGGGGAAGACTGATGACAAGAACCTTCCCCCAGAGCCGACAGAGAGAAAGCCTTCCCCTGGAGCTGGCGCGCTGAATTAGGACTTCTAGCCTCCTAGACTGTGACAGAATAAACGTCTGTCTGTTAAAGCTGTCCGCTTGTGGTATTTCTGTTATGGCAGCACTAGATAACTATTTCTGTAAGTTATTAAGTCTTGCATATGAACACAGAGAGGAAGGAGACAGGCTTTTGTAGCAGCACTGATTTCATCAGATTGAAAATGAGCATTTTTCTCTCTCAAGGCAGGTGACACCAGAGCTAAACTACCACCAGTGCCCTCCACAAGCAAAGATAAAGGAATGAAAATATACACAGGGAGGTTCAGTGGTCAGAGGGAAATACCAAACTTCCACACACCTTCCAAGACCATTTCCTCATTCGTCTAGAACAGTGAACTGAATCCAAGGTGACTTCATTTCCTTCTACACTGTAACTCCTATCTTTCTGGTTCCAAATACAGTAAAAACAAAAAATAAACTCTGGATCCTTTTTTCCCCAAGGTTATTAACATTTATAGTGTGATTACCATGTGCCAGACACTTTATATACATTATCTCATTTATTCTGCACAGAGCTCCATGAGTTAAGTAATATTTTCCCAGTTTTACAGGGGCAAAATCAGATTCTGAGAAGTTGAGGGATCTGCCCAGGGTCCCAGTGCATTTAAATGCGAGTCTTCCTGATTCGGAAACCTGAGCTCGGTGCCCTGAATCCACAACATCCGTCTCCTCCTATGATACCACGTATGGCCAATCTTGTGGAACTTCAGCTCCCCGCCACCACACCTCTTTCCACTGAATAGTTCTGAAGCAATTTCCAGACATTGTGCCATTTCATTCATAGATACTCCAGTATGTTTTCTAAAACCTAAGTGCCTCCCCATTATACATAAAAGAAAACATAACCTTAATACCACTATCACACCTAAAAATTTTAATATTAATTCCTTAATATCAAATATTCAGTGTTCAACTTTCAACCAATCTCTCTTTTTTAACCATATTTTTTTTCTTTAGCTGATTATGCTTTTGCTATCATATTTACAAATCCTCCGCAAAATCTGAGGTCATGAATATTTATGCCTATGTTTTCTTCTAACAGTTTTAGTTTTAAATCTTACATTTAGATCTTAGATCCACTTTGAGTTAATTTTTATATAAGGTGTGAGTTGGGGGGGAAGTGTCATGGATTGAATTGTGTCCCCCAAAATATCTGTCAACTTGGCTGGGTCATGATTCCCAGTATTGTATGATTGTCTACCATTT